TGTTTAAAATTCATTAGGAAAACCAAATATACTTGCTGATCTTGGCTGAGCATTAAAGAGAGCTGTCACCCTTGCAGCTAACAGCACACGGAGCACAATTGGAGAGCATCAATTGTATCAACCACAAAAAGAAACTATATGAACAATAACATTGGGCTTTTAAAGTGACACGTGGGTGACTGGCAGGAGAGCACGGGGAAACGACCCCAACTCCTGCTCAGTCTTTTTCCCATCCCTTATTTCTGAGCTTGCCTGCAATCCATTAAGCATGTGAAGTTTCAAACTTATCCCCAGCTACTCCTAGAATTAGTAATACTCAACAAATGGAATATGTACCTTTTGCTTTCCAAAACGACCATGTCATGCGAAATAGTTTCGCTGCTAATACACGTAATCATAAATTCTGACACTGGCGAGGAATTAAGGCGACAAGGCAGCAATGAGAAAAGTGTTAGAGAAATGTAGGAATTAGCTCAGCTTATAGGATTCAACTTTTTTTGCCCAGCAGACAACCTGACAGATGTCAAGGAGCAAGAGCGACCAGGCATCGATTGACTGGACTCCCCCCACTCCCTCCTGCAGCTCTCAGGGCACGTAAGGACACTGGGCCCATAGGATCACTGTGGCATAACCTGTAGGAATGACAGTTTCCACATGCTCTGAGTGCACAGAGATGTGAGTTCTAATGCTCTACACTGTTGGCTGTGTTTGAATCCATCAATGCATTATTTCAAGGAGAAATGGTACAAATCCACAAAATACAGATCTGGCCTAAATATTAGAGGTACATGAAGCAGCTGCAGAATTCAGTTCAAGGGACAGGTGTCATTTCTGGAACCCTCCAGAGGCTGTGTTGTTTAGTTTAGACCAAAATCAGACTCTCAAGCCCATAATGAGAATAAAACATTGTAAATGGTTTTAGCTGTTAATAACTACATAAGTGACAAATACTACCCACAGTCTGTCATTAATAATTAACAATGAAAAAAAGGCAGGGAAGCTACTAGACTTAAATAGACTGTGGGCTCTTCAGCTCAATACACACACTCAGAAAAATCATCAGGCCACTCCAAATCAAGGGGAAAAACCCAAACAACATGACCAACACTTCCCAATGCTTGTTTTCCATTAGGGCTGGAGTGGAAGGCTGGAATACAGTGTCCAAAGACAGGAAATACTGGTTGGTTTCCCTAAATCTCAATCTTTCTCGTATCAGAAACACTTTCTTTCTACAAGGACCCTCCATGTATTTCTCCTGTTACTGCTGTCAGAAGGCCAACATGGCCCCAACTGTTGGCCCCTGCTCACAGCTCCACTTGGGCTCACAGCACCCACTGGAGATCTGGGAGTCAGCGTTAACTCCCGGGTTTTATTCTGTAAAGCTTTGTCATGAGCCAAAAAGGTGTTTCAAGAACTGAAGCAAAGTCTGTCCTTGGCAGCATTAACAAAAATTGCAGCCACGTATACTTGCAGCAGGCTCCACACAGAGCAGAACTGGAAATACACTGTGCTGCCATTTCAGGGAACTGGAGAATGGAAGGAGTCCTTTTCCACATAGTTGGATCACTGCTTGCCTTTGGCAGGGCTGTGCCTCAATAAACTTTAAAAGTATGTGAATACTGGACTGCCCAGGTACTAGGGGACAGGGAATCCAAAAACAAAGCTAAGAAGGAGTAGTTTCTAGTGTAATACAAACTGTGACTTAAAAAGTACTTAACATATTTCTCAGGGTTTAAATGTACTGCAAATGTAATTTATCATTTATTATTTTCATTTCATTTTGTTATTATACTGTCCCACTGTATTCCCTGTACCAATAACTTTACTACAGCAAGGGATCAGAGGATGCCCCAAGCTGAAGAAAGTTTTATATGATCTTCTCAGAGATATGGTGACTGTGCTAATTATTATGTGGCCCCACACAAAATGTAATTTAAACTGAATCTGTAATACTGGTATACTTTAATTTTAAACCTTTTAACAGCAAAAGAGGTAAAGTGGATTAAGAATGCTGCTTGTCTATTTAGCAGCTAAAACCCAAAGAAAATATGAGTCAATGCTGTCTTAAAAATCTAAGTGTTCTAATGGTGTATGTGGCAGGCATTAGAAATTTAACAGGCAACTAAAACTTGCACGTGGACTGAATCCAAGCTCTTTAAAATGAGCTCAGACTGTGAGTGACTAGTTGCTTGGTCTGGAGTGTGGGGAGTGCTATTAGAGAAAAAAAAAAAGGAGGGAGAGAAAAGGGAGAAATATCTGGTAGTTCCTCTGATAGGCACACATGCACACACACTGCTATTCAGTTTTGGGGTGAGGCTGAGTCAGAGATATTACCCCCCAATTTCAGGCTTAAAGTGGTTTGGCAATAAAGGACAATGGAAAAATTGCTCATATCTCTATGTTCCCATTAAGTTCTGAAGTCTGCTGTGCAAACCAAAGGAATGCACATATCATAGTTTTAAAAAAAATAGATTAAACCAGTAGTGGAAAAGAAGTTCTAGGATATTATTATCCTTGGCTATTTTTAAAAAAAAAAGAATGATGAAACATTTCACTTAGAATATCTACTGGAATGTTATAAAAGAGCGCTCCAGTTATGTCAGTGTCCCATCTGTGAATGTGATTCCTGCCCTGTATGAGAGACTCTGAAATCATTTGCTGACTGTAGCTGGTGTAACTGTGTCCCACAGGACAGGCTGACTGATAGAAAGGGGCTGCTTCAAGGGACAGAGCATTCACAGATGTGAGACCATAAGATGACACAGGGACTCATGGTTACCTGGTCAAAATCCCTGCTGCAGCTGACCCGTGCAGAAGCACAGCTTGGGAAGCAAAACTACTGAAGCAGCTTTTTGCTGGCAGGGTTTTAGGCTATGGAGAGCCTTCATTCCTCAGTTCGAGCCTGCTCTAATCATAAAAGGGGATGAGGACTTAAAATTATTAACACATCATCATTTACACACCCTGTATTAATAAGACTCTTACACTTTGTTGTGGGTGCAGAAATCCTCCCAAAGCCTGAGACTGATCCCAAAAATGTCATGTGCTATTAACCCCTTGCTGCTTTTCCTTCGTGGAAATGTTGGGAGCAGCCTCGTAACACGAAGGCAAGTCAGTGGCAGGGTCTGCTCCAATCACCCCTGCACCACTGACAGAAGCACTTTGCATAAAAGGGAAAAATACCTTCTGGGACCCAGGAGCATCTCTAGCCTCTGTGGTGCAACTGACTGCACTGCTCAGCTGGCTACTGTGATCTCAAATATTTGACCTGGAAATAAAAGTAATAAATCAGTGCTTTTCATTTTGGGCTGTGACTGTAGGGCTCTGGGGAACAGATAGCTGCACAGCACTGGAAGGAGTTGTGGTGCTGTTGCTGGAGAGCTGCCCTGTACTTTGATCCACTCCTATCCTGTGGCAGGTGAAATCAGGATCACTGAGAAGAGCAAGAAGTCTCCTCATTCCCTTTGCTGCTCTCTGTAGCAAAATAACTTCCACAGGGTGTTGTGAGAGTGACTAAGAACAGATGGAGCACTCAGGAGAGAGAGAGTTTTGTCTGGAGAAAGCAGAGGAGACACGAGGCAGGGCAATGGCCTGATCCTAAGGCGGTATAAAGCCACTCAGAGTCTTTCCATTGGCTTGTCCGAGAATTGGAGCTCTCGGATGATCCCCTTTGGGTGTAGGTGTTAACGAGTGTGTTTTGGCAGGTACCCGGGGAGCTCGCTACCCGGGCAGGAGAAAACAAACAGCCGCTACTAAGGGCCCTTCAAAGGCAGCCCTGCGGTACTCGGCTCGTCCCCTGGATCCCGCACACCCTCCGCCGGCCCCGGGCGGCTCTGACTCAGCGGCCGAGCAGCGGTGCCAGCGCGGGCGGGGGAATCGAGGATGGAGCGGGTGGATGGAAGAGCGCTTCCCTACTCCACCTCCTGCCCCCTCTCCTCGGCCCGCGCCCAGTCAAAACCCAACTCACCTGCGGGCCTGCGCCGGCCGGCGGGCTCAGCGCACCCCAAGCCACCGCCGGGAGACGGCCGGCCGCCGGGCAGGGACGGCGGGGCCCGGCGGCGGCAGCCGGCTCGCTGGTCCACTGTTCTTTTGGTGCGATACAGGCAGCCGGCTGCGGGCGCGAGGGCTTTCCGCGCGGAGCGATCCTCCGCACGGATGTCCTCTGTTGGCCACGCCGACCCCCGAAGAGGCCCCCTCCCCAGCACTGCCCGCAGAGGTGCCCCCTTGCCCCGCTCCGTGCGAGCCTGTAGCCCTCCCTCCGCCTGTCCCTCGCGCTGGCCCTCCCCACGGGGCCGCGGAGGATGCCGGAGGAGGCGCAGCCGCCCCGTCCCCGAAGCTGGCAGCGGGGAGACCGGCGCTGCGGAGGGGGGTCGTGGCTCGGGTCGCGGGCGGCCGCGCGGGGGGCGCGCAGGCGCTGACAGCGGGACAGGCTCCTGCCTCTTCGCGCGCTAAAACTCTTGCCTCCACCGGCCCCGCGCAGCGCGGCCGAGCAGGCCCCGCCCCCGAGCCCCCCGCCCCGCCGCTCGGCCCTTTCCACGCCCGCCCCGCGGGGGCACCGACCCGGCGGGACCCGCGGACACCGCGGCGGGCGGGCGCGCGCGCAGCCCCGGCCCGGCCACTGAGCTCCGCCGGGCCCCGGGGAAGCCGCTGCGACGCCCCGGGCCCCCGACCTGGCAGGAGGCGGAAGGGTTAAGCGGCCGGGTTAGTCAGCGAGACTCCTGGGGTGATGGCTTGGAAGAGGAGAGTCCCTCTGGCTGGAGTTTAAAGGAGGCTCCTCCAGACAGATTTGTACCGCCGTGGCGGAGCGCTTCAAACCAAACCAAACATAAAGCCAGTCCAGTCCCTTCCCCGAGCGACTTTCTCGCCATGAACCCCCTCCTGCCCACCCAGCCTGCGGTCGGACAAACCCCCGGGCCAGGGAGGGACCTGCCGAGCCCCGGGGAGGGGAACGCACACGGGGGCACACACAGCACACAGACACCGCAGCAGTCAGACCCTACCTTGATCCATAGACCTCATGATGTGGTGGTAGTGTACCAGCCTGCAGGCAGTTTCTCGCTGCATCGGGAATTAAAAAAAAAAAAAAAATCAATAGCAAGAGAAAAAGATATTTAATTATATATATATGAGTAGTAGTAATTTAAGGAAAAAAAAAATCTTCTTTAAACCATGTTCAACGAGTGCCGCCCGGACAGAGGGAACCCCTCTTGCTCGCCTCCTTAGTGAGTGTTTGGAGGTGCAAAGAGGGATCCGAACTGGGCTGAGCTTGTTCCTGAAGTGAAGTCAGTTCTCTTCTCTGAGATGAGGGTTACTAGAGAGGGAAAGGCCACTTCCTTTCCTGCTCCGAGTGTTTATAGTCTTTGAATGCTGTAAAATAACGGGATTCCCTCACTGTTTCCTCCTGTTTATCCCAGTGCCATGGAAACCCCTGGATCGCCTCCATCTCCCAAACTGAGGGCTTTCCTGCAACTTCACACTCAGGAATCCATGACGTCTCCCAGCTCCGGGCCAAGGCAGCTCTGCGGCTTTCTCAGTCTGCAGCACAAGCACTTAATTGTTGAGCAGAAAGTTAGAGAGCGAGAAAGAAAGAAATATGGATGATGTTAAAAATCCCAGTGTGTGCTTTTTAAACAAAACTTGCAGGAACTGCAAAGCCTTTCAAAGCAACAGGGCTTCTGTGCAGAAGTTTTCCTTCTTCCCAGCAGAGACAAGCTCAGGCTCCTACTGCCTCTACCTTTGAATAAATCATTCAGAAAAGCAAAGTCCACAGCTTATATTTATGTCTTTTAAATTCACCAGCACCTTATTAATACCCATCTTATTACTGGCACCGGTTTTGGCTTTTAATTACCATTGGCTCAATTCTTCATACAAAGAAGAAAAGAAAAATTAAAAATCAGTGTATCTGTTTAGTGGTGTTCCACAAAACTCTCTCTGTTCCTATTTTTAGATCAATTTAGAAGAGAGAGGAGCAACCCCATGGATTTCCACCGATACACGTGGAGCTTAGCAAGAATGAAATAGCCAAGGAAGCCTCCGAAACCAAGACAACCCGTGTGTGTTTACACGTCCTATGTATAAACAGGAAAATAAAGCAAAAGAAAACAGGAAAATAAAGTCAGAGATGTCATGAACTGGTGCTGTCTCACAACGTATAGTTTTCACTAGTGTGCTAAGGAGCATTTGCATCTCGATTCGGTGCTGAGCTCAGGATCTCCGTGCAACTGCACTTGCACAGTGTTTTTTCCAGCAGAGATGAAGAGGTCACATATATAAACGATTCTCCGGGGAGCGAGGCAGCTCTGCTGCCCCTCGGGGTGCGCGGCGAGCCGGGTGGCTGCCGGGGTCAGCCGGAGCCCCGGGCTGAGTCACGGCAGCGGGACTTGGCCGTGCTGCGTGCGGAGGGGTGCCTGGCACCCGCACCGCATTTCCATTTTTCACTCCCTCACTCCCCAGATCGACTCGAAGGGAGGCATCGCAATCAAACTTTCTGCTTCCCGGGTTTGTTGTCCTGCAGGCTAGCAACTGCAGCAGCCCAGGGAAACTCAGCGCACCTCACTTTCCTACCCTTTGTCATCTTTGGACACGTCGGGGCGGAAATACCTTTCCCAGCCCCACTGGCCCGTTATGCAACCGGCTGCCCCCGGGGTGCAGAGGAGCCCCGTCCCGGTAACCCCGCTCCCCTCAGCTCCCCCCGGAGCCCCCGCAATGAATCTCCCCTCGCACTCCGCCGGTTCTTAGGAGAGCCTTTTCCCCCCATTCCTGCAGGGCTGAGCTCCGGCTCCCCGTTCCCCCAGCACCGGCACCGCGCCCCGGCCACTCTCCCGTGAGGATATTCCTGCCCGAGCCCGGGATGGAGGGGAAGGACGGAAAAGTTGCACCTGACCCTCAGGCTCGTACCTGGAGGCTTTTCCCGTTCACAAACCTCTCAACGAGCAGCTTTGAAGCCACGAGCGAGATCCCACAACCTCCCCCGGCGCTGCTCCCGCAGCGGCCCCGACCCCACACGGGACCCCGCAGGTCACCGGCGTGTTTGATCGGACCCGCTATTGGCATCAGGTGAAGCAAACTCAGAACCACCTGATTCCTATTTGGAAACATTCAAGGGAAACCGAGACTGCGGCTTTGCTTGGAGAGCAAAACGATTTTAATTAATTATTAGTCGGGAGAAATAAGTAATTAACCCAACTTCCACCCTTGTCACCCAAACTCCTCGCTGTGCCTGTGACCAGTCACTCCAGCATCCCTCGTTATAATTGCACTGGGAAACGCGGAGAACTGGGACAGGGGCTTTGGGCGAGGGGGGCAATGAAGCAGAGCTGGGAAGGGGAGAGCTGGGGGCGAGCAGCTGCGTGCAGGGAGGGGGGGCACACACAACCTGGGGCGGCCGAGGGCACCTGGCCCTGCCAAAGGGTATCCCAGAGCGAGCGGAGAATGGGCGATCCCGACGGAAAGCTCGGCCTCCTCCCACGCGGAGCTGTAGCGGGGGAGCAGCCCCGGCTCCGCGGTTTTGGGCACACAGGTTGGCTGCCCTAGGCTGCCCCGTTTAAAAATACAATGTCTTTCTTTTAATAGCTCAGTTTGATCGGCTCCCGCTAGTTCACATGACAGGGTTTTCCTAAAATATCTTCTTCCACTAAGTTTTTTCCAACTTAAAACTGCTGAATCCTGCTACCCAAATTAAACTCAGTGCAAAGCGAAAAAAAATAAATAAATAAATAAAGAAGTGAAAGAGGGCTGGCGGCTGCCTCCGGACTAGCATTCCCCAAACCAGCATATGACACAACTGTAAGATTTCCAAGGCTTTTGGAGAGTTCAGCGAGAGAATCGTGTCCTCCACTGGCTGCAGCTTCCCCGCTGAGTTAAACTTTCCTGACGGAACCTTTCTCCATCTGGCCGCGGCTCCAGCGCGTTGTGAGCGGCCGCGGAGGAGAGGGGGATGTAGTTCAAGTCTTATATAACTGTGCAAGCTGGATGCGGGGGCAGAGACTTTCCCTAGAAACGAGAGATTTTTATATATATATAGTTATTTTTAGCTTCCTTTTTCAAAGGAAGGCCAAATACCTCCGACTTTCCTTTGCTTTCTTATTTTGGTATCACTAAGGGATTTTATTTTTGGAGGCAAGGAGCTATTAATAGCTAATATTTTTAGCTATTTATTCCCTCTTTAGGAGAATACTTCCTCTTCCTTTTAGGGGCATATTCTGGACTGCATCCCTACCCCCAAAAACAGGCCCACCTCCCTCCCCCATGCCCACGGCACTCTCTGGGATTTGCCAAGAGGATGCCCAGCTTCAGGGACCGGGGAAGGGATGCATCTCCTGGTGTTGACCCCAACCAGCTCCCTGGCTCGGGGGATGGATTTGGAAGCTGAACTTGTCCCCGGGAATAGCCCGGCCGGTCCTCACCGCTGGGCTCCCGGCCCAGGAGGCCGAGTGAGGAGCTCCCTGCCTGGCAGAGGAGAGCTGCAGGAGGCTGGGGAGGGCGGCAGCCGGCCTGGGGGGCCCGGGAGGTCCGGGGAGCCGTGTTCCCAGGGCTCCCGGCCCCAGGGGGGTCCCTGACTTCCCCTGGCAGCCGCCCACAGCATCGTCCTGCACCTCCCAACAGAGGATGAGCCTCCCCACCCGGCTCCACGCAGGCAATTGGCAATAAAAACGATTATTTTTTAAAATTATTATTATTTCTCATGCTCTTCAGGAGATAAGGCACCAAGGCTTCCTGAGGATGTGCTCTCTGGCCATTGGGTCAGCTGCCTGGATTTTATCATCATAGACTTCATGGAGACATCTCTGTTTTCCACTTGCAAAAGGTATTTCAGTCTCACAGCAACAATAAGTATTTTTGACAGAAGCTCCTCACCCTTCCAAAGTAAATACTGCTCTCCCCAATCTGCCCTCGCACACAATGAGTCCCAGAGCAGCCTCCACACGTCCGAGACGTTGAGCAGAGCGGGGCCTGGGCACCAGATTCCCACACTCTGGCTGTGTCCTCATCACACCTCTCTGGGCTCTGAGGTCCTCACAAGGACCCAGCAGTTCCCCAGCTGCAGCTTGGCCTGCTCAGGTCCTGCAAACTGGCACCTCCCTCCCTTTTCCGAGCAGTCCTGGAGCATCCTGACTGCACTTGACCAACTCAGGCTTACTTCTGACAATGCACTTGTCTAAATGACATATTCACTCACTCTGTTAAGTTACAGAGTGTCTGATCTTGTAATGAGCTCCACGTGGCCCAGGGAATCCACCCATATAGAGCTCTCCAGGACTGGAACTAGAACTGCTTGAATTTTTCCCAAATGAGAACTAGCTTTTCATCTACAATTGAAAATTCTGCTTTGGGAAGAGATCTCCAACAAACAGCCATTTGTTAGAAATGCCAATTCTTCTACTTAGCCCTGGATTTTTAGCCCCATCAAGAGTTGCTACCTGGGCAATTCCCATTATTGGTCATACAGGATTAGAACTGGCTTGTGAACATCCTTCCCTTTGCATAGAGCAGGAGAAAAAGGGAGAGGAAGGAATAACATATGCTGTCCAAGGCCAGGTTGTGCAGGTCCACAGGCACCTGCCAGCTCAGCCCTTGAGCTGCTCTGTCCTGTGCCCATCCCTGGGGCAGGGGAACATTGGGATTACTCTCCTGCTTGCTCTGTTCAGTGAAGCTGGACACCACAGAGATCCTGCCCCCTAAATTACAGTTGCTACAACAGTACAAGGAAAGAGCTGTTCCCTTTCACACATTGCTTCCAGCTCACAGAGTTTAGGGAATGAGAACAGCAGCATCATTAATTAATCGTTATTCCCAACCATTCAACTCACCTTCCCCTTCCAAGGAGTTCCTGTAAAGAACCAAGGTAGGAATTTGAAGAAATGCTTCTGATTGCAGGAGATGATGAGCCCTTACCCCCAGCTGTTCCTTTTGGGGGGTGGGTTCAGTACCCCCTCAAGTACCTGTTCACACACCAGTCGCCTCACAGTTCTCAACATGGACCTTCCTCCAAATCCCACAGAGCAGCAAGTGCCTCTCCAGGGGGACTGCAGGATATTTGCAAAGATTTTGGAAAGGGAAAG